AAGAGTGCGCGCATTGCGCAGGAAAGCTGCGCCTCATATAGGGATGGCTGCGGGTAGCACACAGAGTGATGCTACAAGTCTGTGCTATGTACTCCCTAGTGAGAACTGTCATATCAGACCATGAGACTCATGAGTCTCTACACTGGGATCGAAGACCATCATCAGCATAGAGTTAGGTGCATGGAGCATGCGATCAATGTGGCCGCAGGTCATTTTTCACAGGCAATTGGACCTACGAGCAGCTTGAAACTTGGTGCTGGCAATGACAACAATGACAATGACAATGACGACAATTCCGACACATCTGATGCACTCAGGAAGGCTCTTGCACTCATTGTGCAGGTGTGTGACACTACTCATTGTTGAAGTGAATCACTAATATTATTTGACTAGATCTGAAAGTCACCTCAAGCTCGTGCATTTTTCTGCCAATTATGTGCTGAGGTCAATGTGCCTGTCTTTGAGCTTCTACAGTGGGTCCAGACTCGGTGGGCCTCACTCTTCACATGCCTCACTCGCCTTCTTCTGTTGCAGAAGGTGCACTTTTTTTTTCAATAACCAATATCATACTAATGATTTGCAGGGTGTCAACCACTTCATACGTCTTGCTGATGACAGCAATGATGTGCCGAACTTGTGAAAGAAGCAGTATGCTGACTTCAAGTTAAGTCAAAGTGATTGGGTCCAGCTTTTGCTTCTCCAAGAAGTCCTTCAGGTGCAGTGTTAACTTATCTTCGAGTCTTCTATATCTAACTGTTGCACTGTCTTACAGGAGCCTGCCAACACTACTCAAAGTTTTTCTAGCGCAAAGAATCCAACAGTCTGGCGAGCAATTCCAGTGTTGGAGTTCTTGCAGCAAAGCTGGCAAAATATGGAAGATGACGAGAAGTTCTCCAGCATTGCTGACACATTACAAGCTGGCCTTGAGAATTTGGGGAAGTGGAGCTGGAAAACGGATGAGACGGACATGTACTTTATTTGCTTGGGTGCATCTCCATATATTCAATAATTCTATCATCAACTGATACATGCATTGAACAGCTCTAGATCCTAACTACAAACTCAAGTATGCATGAGCACAATGGGATGCAGATGCCTTTGATGAAGGGAAGAAAAAGCTTGAAGCTGCAGTAAGTCAGGCTACCATTGCAGTCAAACATTGTTACTAGCTGTTCAACAGTTTGACTACTATCATGCGCAGGTTACACCTCAGCCCTCACCATCCAAACCCATTCCATCAGCGTCCAGTCAACCACCCACACAATATGGGCACTCATGGATGTGATCGGCGATTCTAGCTCACCAATTGTCTGAAAAAAGCATTGCCAATCCATGTCATGAACTCGCCCTATACTTAACTAGCCCATTGGAGGAGGTGGCTGATGTGGTTCGCTGGTGGGGGGTAAGTACTCTATATTGTATTGACCGGCCTTTGTTGATGTGCTTGCTCTAGCATCATTCCACCATGTACCCCACCCTTTCACGCATGGCAAGAGATTACCTTGCTATTCAAGGCTCTTCAACGCTGTCAGAACGGTGTAGATGAGTAATCTTGACTATAGGTGAAAACACTTAAAACAAATGGGTGCTCTACAGCAAGACCAGGATACGAGACAACGACTCGACCCAAAGGACAACCACTGAGAGAAGTTCCTCGAAATAAAAAATGGAGGGAAACTGTATGAGCTAGGTGGGCGCTAACAAGCGCAAGAAGGTAACGCGCACGTATGCGAGGCGAAGGCGCGCAAGATGCGTGCGTGAGCGGGAGGTTCAAGAATGCGTGCCTAGAACATTAAGGGAAAGATCCTATTTGAAGAGTGGATGCACAGATGGATGGTTGACAGGAGAATCAGATCAGATATCAAGTGAGGAGGTGATCTATACACTTTCCAGTACACAAAGATAAGGGGAAAGTAAGTACCAGAACCAAAAGAAACCCTTCTGTATTTAAGAATGGAGATTGCACTAAGTGGCGTGCTTCCGAGTGCGCTCCCGAACCAAGTAACCATATCAACCCTAATTATAACTAAGTTTAAATAGACTTTCTATATGTAGCGTGGACGTCGGACCAAAGATTTCATTAGTTCATGAATGAGATAAGAATAACGCACCAGCAAATCAGTAAGGACATGGGACGAATGGACGGATGGTAGCGCGAAGACCTAAGAGGAGGCGCATGAACGTGCACGAGTGCAGGTAAGGCGCACCTGAGTGCGCACAAGTGTAAATAGGGCGCGTGAGATCAGCATTGGGACGCGCAAGTCTCTACAATGGGCCTTCTCAAGTGGTGGCATGAGAGATGATAGTTGACGCAACCGGCTTACACCTCAGGTCTTCAAGGCACTGCAATTGTTGAAGAGTGCCTACTGTAATGGGCATCTACAGGCTGCAACTGATGCAACAGTGCATGTCGAGCCTGATGCTAGTGTAGGTGCTACTGACATGTAGAGTACATGTTGTTTTGATATTGCTGCAATCCCAAGTCTCTTTCGCATGCATTGAGTCGGAGACATTCAGCGTCTGAATGCCAAACTGAACATGAACTGAATGTCCCAAATGCATTTGACTACGTTCAGTCCAGCATTCAGCAAAATCACCGAACCGAACGCAACATCCAGTTCAGCATTCACCAATTTTCCTGGTGAACTGGACTGAACTGGACTTTTCCATCACTATTTGGGATGCGCTCGTACCAGTCTACTCCCTCATTGTTCCTATCTCGGATCCATCGGCCAAAGTCTCTTTGGATCACTCGGAGTTCAACAGGCAAACCCGCTTCTTTCTTTGTACAAGTGCAGATACTCAGTACAAGGACTTTTGACACCACTAGGACATTTTGTTTGTGTTTTTACTGCATGTCACAATATAAGTTCGATGACCTCAATATGGGTGTGACTGTCACACAAAATAGGGTTGATTCGCTGGGCCTGTGATGGTGTGACGAACTTAAGTGAGTATCTCTACAGTAGTAAGGCCTTACTAGACTGTTTCAACCTCGCGGCAGCCTCGCGAGGCATTTTAAGATCAGCGCTGTCTCACACAGGATTGTGAGGGAAACCTCATCTCCAATAATGCTTTGTGTTTCAAAGGTATGGTCCAAGTCCTATTTTGGGTTCAGTTCATGCCTTTGAAATAGAGGTGCACAATCACATCCATGGTAATTTTATTCCCACAGGGCTGTGGCAGATGTCTGTATAGAGACTCGATGACACAAAAACATCCCTGAAGCATCGATTGGAAGAACTTTTACACATCACAAGCACCAATAACTTTGAAAGAGAAAGTTGTAGCTATGATATAAAAGCCTTGGTTGTTGTAGAAGAATCAAGAATTCTTGAGAATTTTCCTGAGGTGTGGTGGACATCGTGAGAGTGGTCCCTCCAGCACCACCAAAAGCTCAACCAGCAATAAAATATTCACAACATTTGAGAGATACACATTCACAAAGTCACTTTCATCAATGTGTCAAGACAATTTTGAGGTATGTAAAATTGTTGCTTTATCACAAGTCAGACGGTGTGCAATTGACAGGCTCACAGCCACAGACACATCAAATGTGATATTGATCGTGTCAACTTCACATGTCTTGACCACTGTCAACTTTGCTACACCCCATGCATGACTTAATTATACTTTCTAATTGTTATTCCTAACATACTGCACATAATCCAAATCCTAAAATGTCCCCCTTAAAATGGTAGCATTCACAAGCACAGTGAGCCCACCTCAAACAAATCAGAACTGCACAGCTGAAATCACAGAAGGATAGCAAGGATACACATTCTGATGAAGAAGCTACAGCTATTAGTTTACATTCAAGACACCTCACACGAGCAGCTGCACTCAAAGAGCTTGATATCCTGCATGAAACTGTCTCAAAATATTGCACTGACCTTGAGAGCTACAAACAGGCACTCATTCAGCAAGATAAAGAGATATTTGATCTTCATAATACCCTTCAGTCCACTCAATTCCAGTGTGAAAAGCTCTAAGACACTGCCTCACAACTTTCCAGAGAGCATGCAATCAGTCAGATGGCTTTGGTCACTATCAAACAAGCACTTGCAAAGGAACAGCACAAACAAGTCACTTACTACAAAGAGCTCCAAAATGAGTGCCAAAATTTTCTATGTGCACATTCCTCTGCAAAAAAGGCATCAGACCAAGCTAAGGAACTTTGGGAAATGATTATACCAACTGTAAACACTGAAGCTGAGTTGACAATACAGCAACTTTAGGCTCGTGTTGCAATTCTCAAAGGCCATGTTCTTTCTCTTAAAATAGACCATGCTCAGTTGTGCAACAAGCTTTCGGAGGCTCATAGAAAAACTCACTGCTTTCATATGCAAGTTCTATGTGCTAAAAAATCCATTGAATGGTCCTGTAACAAGGCTAGTGAGCCTGCATGGACACAAGATTTTTCCTCACCAAAGGTTTTCAAGAATGGAATGTATACTTCTCAGATTCGAAACCTTGCACATTCTCTCATTGTTGCTGGATGCTCTCAGGATTGTGTTGGAGCCCTCATTCAAGAGTTCTTCAAACTGTTTGGTGTCTGAGTGAAGAGGATGAGCTGATGAACCATTCAATGAACTATCCTTGAGGGTGGAATAGCTGCAAAACTTCAACTTGCACATGAAATTGGGCACACAAAGAGTTCGCAACTGCAGTGAAATACACCTGTACTTGTAGGGCTTAAGCATAAAACTGTCTGATTAGACATGCACCTTTATGCATAAATGCATCTAATCCTCGATATCAAGCATCACCCCTGAGATAACTGTACTACAGCATGACAGTGTTTGAGCTTCAAGCATCACCATACAGACCACGCTAACATCAAGCCTTGCACTACCTAATCTTGCCTGGATCTTGCCCAATCTTGCCCAGATCTTGAGCAGTGTCCTGGATCTGTGTTCCTGATCTTGTTATTGTATCCTACTCTTCTCATACATCAAACAGAAGCCATCAAAACAGGTTAATATGTAAGCATCAACATCCTATGGGGCGACAGGCGACAGTAACTGCAGGAGAACCAGTACAACATTCCACAGGGCTAGGAATTGGTCTCGCATAGCCCTCACATATCCCTGCATACCCTCCCGCTCTGCTGTGGTCAAGCCAGTCCTGCGAACAGCCTGCTCCTTCCACCACGCTGCATGCCAGGAAAGAAATTCTGCAACTCGGCGCATCTCCTCTTGCAGGAGCTTGACCTCTTTAGCCAATTGGCTGGTGTGTGCTCTCGACTTGCACCATTCAATATGCAAGGCTGTGGATGATCAAGGCCAAATCCTCATCCGTAAAATAACCTTCAGACAAAATGGACTCGTTATTGTCACCTATTGCACCCACTCCGCAGGCTTTCCAGATCCAAGATAAGGTGTGATTTGCTTCAATAAGTGTTCCTCAAGCTTGTGCCTAGTAGGACAAACAAGCATTTTGGGCATTGAGATTAGATGTGTGGAATGACACAAATGACACAACAACACTCACTTTTCATAATATCTTCGCTTTGATAGCAACCGGGCCTCATAGCATTGTGCTTCACTTTTATACTTGGCTGGCATGAAGAAGTGTCACTAACAAATGAATGAATGTTGAAATTGCTGAAACATTGAAACATTGAAGGCTGCACATGAGGTAACTTACTGTAACAGTTGATTCACTTAAATGAGACACTACCAGCACTTTGGGACAAATGAATGTGACAAACAATATTACCTCAAAGTCAGCACCTGGTTATTTTGCCGCAAGTTCTCAGCTTTCGAGACAGCTCCTGTGAGCTTTTCAGACCATTATGACCCAAATATCACTTTATAAATTATATACAATAATGTAGCAAAAGGAGATGACCAATACCAAGATGTCTTAAAGCCTAACAGACAGCAAGTACCATGCATCATAAACTGTACAGTACTGAAAGGGTTTTCATACATTGGTGTAGAGGTGCCTGAACATTTAGATCCAACAGAACACATCGGGGGACGAGAAGCTGCAAAGGAGAAGGAAGAAGCTGCAAAGGGGGAAAGGGCCATTTTAGCCTACCAAAAAAGGGATTTTATGCATGATAAGAAGCTTTAAGCATCATTGCAGACATGAGATGCTTGAAGCGTAAAGCAGGCATGTATGAAGAAGCCTTTAAGCATTAAGATACAAACATCAGGAAACTAGACAGTTTAAGCATAAAGGTCTGTGTCTAATCAGACACTTTTATGCTTAAATCTGACACTATAGCCTGTGAAATACTGACCATAACTGATGACCTTCTACCTATGTAGATCTTACAATAAGCAGTGACAGAGCATCTCATCATCATGTCAATTTCGAGTCTATGCATATCAACCTTGCTGTTCCTGATTATGCAAACTCTGTGGAATGAATGATGACTATGCAGCAGACCAGAAGAAAACCTTTCAATTGGTCCAGGAGTGGAAGGTTGAAAATCTTTATTGGGCATTGGGTAAAGCCTTCCTTGATGACCATGCATCTGATAACACTGGAATTTCTCTTCATGCTGATGCTCATTCATTGAAAATCACATCCACAGGTGGCCAGGATATCTGGGACAAGTTGCCAGTTGAGGAAAAGGCTTCACACAATGCACTTGCAGATGATGTCACAGAACATACTGTTGGCAAGGAGGTTTTCAAGATACTACCTGATGAAAAGAAATGGGAATATCTCTGGTTTTTACGTGCTGGCTGTGCAATGCATAAAGAGATGAATGCAATGAAGGCTGGAAACGTGGCACTGATGGCTTTCTGGCTCAAGAATGACCTCACTCCTCTGATCCTACTGGCAAACAAGGACAATGCTACAGTGCTACAACATATTGATCTGACTGCTGATGGTCTCTTGGCCACTGAGGAACATGCAATGAAGGTTTCCACTCATGGAGGTGTCAAGGCTGTCAGCCTAGCTGGTGATATATTCAATCACAAGGATGATAAGAAAGGGCAATAAGATACTCACTGGGTCATCATGGAAAAGCTGAAGGGCTTTATATCTACATTTCCAGATACCAGCAATACTCATTTCCAATCACACCATCCTGGCTGCATCGAGCTTATTGTCTGGCAGCTACAATACATTGTTCTCCTTGAAATTGTCTGTGACAAGAAGGAAAAATGCAACTTCAATCATATGGAATTCAACCTTTATAATGCTCTCCACAATGTCAGTACTCTAACCAAGATGTCAGTCATCATTTTCTATCACGAAGCAATTTCAATCTGGTATCTCAACTTCTCCTGATCAATGGATCTCAACATTCTTGACCTCGGTCCATATCATGATCAGCTCAAGGCTCACATTCAGAAGCTCATCGATGATCCTTACCTCCTGCTTTTTCTGATGCTACAGGTGAAAAGAAAACACTCACTGGGGAATCATGGTGTAATTCAGATGCTATTGAAGCTGTACACGGTGTAGAAACAACAATACTGCAGGGCGCTGTAGAAACAACAATACTGCGAGGTGCAAACAAGGCTCCTGGCTGTATCTGTAAATATTGTAAGGTTGTGCGTTACCTAGTCTGCTATACTTGAGAAGACCAGTGTGTTCAACCCTAAAGGGGAAGCAAGTGCAGCAAGGATCTAGTGATATGCGCTGAAGGCGCTACTGGTTGGCCAATGTAAAGCACGAGAAAGCGCACAAAGCACAAAGGCGTGGGAACGCGCATGTGTGCTGTGCGAAGCGCGGGAAAGTGCATGCATGTATGTGGAAATGAGGAAGAGTAAGAATAAGCTTGCTTAAGTGATGATATGATGTAAGACCAGAGAAGAGAGATGCAGAGTTGTAGACAAATAGATTTCTACTATGTTCTACTAAGTAGTAAGTGGGTAGTAACTAGTAAGTGAGTGCAAAAGTGAAGTCAGCCAAGTGGAAAGTTGAAAGTCCGTAATAGTATGTACTGCTGGCGCTTATATATGCCTAAGCACTGTCATGCGGAGCCGAAGCACTACCAAGTAGGTATGTAAAGATATATGTAAGTAAGGGTCCATGATAAAAATAAAGGTGGAATGATATGCAAATGAGAGAAACAGAAATATACGCTGTAGAGACTAATATCTCTGTGGGCTTGCAGGGATCTTAAATCCCATTGTCTCTATCACTTCCCAATATAGCGCGACTCATATCTCACCCAGCGCGCTCCGGCGCTTCGTCAGCCGCTCTTGCATGCCAGCGCTCCGGTCACTCATTAGTCGCGCATTGGCGCACCCATCCTCAGTTCCATTGCCCGTCCTCTGTCCATCCATTCCATGTCTGTTCGGTTCGTCGGTGCATATTCCGATTCTATTTTCATTGATTCTGACATATCTCCAGCACTTATGGCCATATTCCGTATGTTTTCCGTTATGGACCCTTTTATTACATATTATCTCGCATCCGCTTCACTTCTTGGTTTGCTCTAGCGCTTGACAGTGCTTAACATTACTTAGTATATATAGATGCGCATAAACTGTATAATGACTATCTTTCTGCCCACACATCATTGGACTCTAAGTCTAAGTTCTCCCTCTAAAATCTAAAGTATCTAAGTACAATACGGGCACCGCTGCCGTACATTACTAGAAACTCTGCCAATTAGTTTTCTGACTCATTAAGAGTCGCTGCGCTCCACCACCTGCACATGCACTGCTTCCGCTTAGCACGCGCTTCCGTTATAAGTCGCACACCGTTATGTATCATTGGCCGCTATTGCTCATCGGCACTTCATGTTGCTTCCGCTCGCTCGCGCTTCACTCATCGTCGCGTGCCTTACCATGCTTGACCAAGTGCCCGGTCCAGTGTTTCCCTCCATTTTATACACTTAGAGGAATCTTCTCAGTAGCAATCCCCTTGGGCCGACGTATATCTTGCTCATCGAGGACTACTTGAGTTATCTCATACCACTCATATTACCCCACTTCCCATTCTTCTTCTACAATGCACTAGAGAACTTGGTGGACAGTGGATGGATGCATCTGGATGGCTGGCACTATAGGGCGCTCAAGCGTGGGAAAGCGCGCGCATATACATCACAAAGTGCAGGAAGTGTGTGCGGGAAAGCTGCACCTCATATAGGGATAGCTGCGGACAGCACACAGAGTGGTGCTGCAAGTTTGTGCAATAAACTCCCTAGTGAAAAGTGCCATATCATACCATGAGAGGCATGAGTCTCTATAATGGACTGAATGCTTCACCTGGTCTTCCACACCTTTGCATTGCCCTTGTCACATTTCTGAAAGGGACTCTCTTTGGATGGCAGCACTTCACTGCAGAATACAAAGCTGATAGTTTAATTGCCACATCAACTACAGAAGAGCATGCAATGGCCTACATGCCCACAACCAATGATGCTAATGAAGGTGCCCTTGGTGCTATGCGAGTTTTCATGTGAAACAAGCCAATGATAACAATGCATCAGTACGAGGCTCAAGCACTGTTTCATTGTAACAACATACATGATTTTATTAATTCCACAATATTCACTGGAGACATTGAGAAATTCTGCATACAGGAGGCCAGAAGGATTGATGGGCAGAAGCTGGAGAAAAAGTGACAGCAAGAGCTTGTGATGAACAAGAGGTTGAAGAGACTTATCAAAGGGTTGCTGCAAAGAAGACAAAGATGGCAGAGAAGGATGTATTGCTGGATGCTGTTGAATTCATTCTAGATGATGCAAAACTCAATGCCCTTAACATAAAACAAATTATTGAACAACTCAAACTCCATTGCTGCTGTGACAATACAATACACAAACCATACTCTCATGAAATCAGCACTAAACATGAGCAGAAGTTAGCATACCTAAAAAAAATTGTTACAGACCTCAAGAGCTGCCCAGAAGCTACCATGTGGCCATCCACTGCACAGCTTGATGCAAGCATGTCTTGTCATGACAATGTGGAGGATTCAGATGATGAGATGGACTTCAAACATAAATTATTCAGACTTGGAGGTGTGTGAACCTGCAAAACTTACTGTGTTGGTGTCTTGCTGACATCTGAGACAGATGTAAATCATAATATTTCACTTATACTACCATACAACATACTTTAAACACCATCCAGCAGTCGAATTGATGCTTTCTGCATACAATACTTCACATTTGAGAATTTGTACCATTGAGTTATGAAAATTTGCCTATGGGAATCTTACATAAATGTCACAGTTGTGGAACAGAGAATGCACATCCCCATTTGAAACACATTCATTTAGACTGTTCTCATGTGTATTTAAGCCTTATCAAATTATACTAATTGTTGATGCAACAGCCCTCCAGCAGCCTCTCTTGATGCTGCTCTACTCAGTCTCATTATTTTTGATTGCTGTTCTCACCATGGTCAACTGTCCAAACTGTGATGTTGAAGTTCACAATCATGGACTTTCCATGCACCTCAGCAGGTACTGCTGCATGTGTGATGTAGCCATGACATCAGCACTTACTGAATGGCCGGAGCGCCAACAAGCGATTGCTGAAGCTGCCTAATCAAAGGAAGAACAGCAATAGGAAGAAGAACATGAGGCACAGCATTGTCAATGACAACAGCAGCAGCCTCGTGTTGAGGAAGTGAGTATTATTTTCAAAATGTAGACTTGACATTCATATATGAACAGGTACCAGATATTGAAATGGACTTGTGACCATCTGGGCATCCCAATCGCCAGATATGTCTCCCCAAATGTTACTGTGACAAAGTTCCAGTCCTGCCAACTCCTGCCCTACCTCCTGTTGAGCTAGATGATCCAGCACCAGTGCCTGATGACTCCAGCAACATTGCCATGGACTTTGATAACAGACCATCATCGGAGCATGCCCCCCCTACAGAGAAACATTGTATGGTGTAGCACTTGTGCTAGGCTCATATTCAGCTATTTCACACATCATGTTAAATGCCTGTCACACAAGAATCACTTTCCAATGTTATCTGACACTCATCTGCTCAAATCTGATGCTTATCCGCAAACCCGATGTTTATCCACTAAACCCAGCACAAACCTGATGCAAACCCGCTAATCCGATGTTTAGGTCACACCGGACCCAATACTTTCCTGTGCATTTGTCCTCCCTATGTCCAGTCCTGTCATATCTATCTCCACTAGGTGTGCAGTTATCAGTTTTCATGTTGCTAACATTGTAGAACACATTATTACATGTCCACAGTACCACATGTCTTATTACATAGGACATCGGACCTGAAAATTAGCACTACTACTTTTGCCTATAGCACTCCAAAATTCCACATAGACACTATATATTTCGCATATCTCCTTCTTACTTATTTCACCTTTCTATTTCCAAGTAGGAGGAGGTCATTAGATATTTGTAGTTCTTCACTGAATTCTGCAATATCATCCTTTCATTATCTGAAACATTCCAAAAACACTGACAGTAACCCAGCATTCACTATCCCCGACATTCACTACAAACCCGATGCTAACCCAAAACCCAATGAAATCCAACAAAACTTAATGAAACCGCCTAACCCAAAACCTGAAAAACATCGGACCCGACAATTTACCTTCGGACTTTGTTTCCCACGCTTCAGACTATCTTCCTTTTAGTATAATTAATTATTCTACTACCAACAGTTAACCCCTCGGGTCGAACACACTTGTCTTACAAGTATAGCAGACTAGGCTGTGCAAGACTACAACATTTTATATTGCTGGTTACTTACTTCATATAGTACCAAGCATTGTTTTACCTACAACAGACACTGATACATTTGACCTTTTTCGTGAATACCCTCATTCATTTCCAATATATGACCCCGAGCATTCAGCCTACTTTGATGCACTCTGTGACTCCTCAACATTCCAGCACATTGATGGAGATGCTGATTATGAATGACCATGGTATGCTGGCTTCAGACAGTCACTCGAAACAGTCCACCATGACTACTTTGCACCATTCCTTAATGTGACGGTCTTTCACCTTATGACGTGGTTTTATAATATTTCAGTCTCAAAATTGCTGCAAGATCTCAATCACTTGGTCAATGATGTCATGTTAGGGGAGGATTATTGATGAGAAGATTTGCTAGATTTCAATGTGTCTAGGGAGGCATCATGTCTTGAGAAGGCTCAATATGACCCTGCCTTGTCCATATTTTCTTCTGATGGATGGCACAAGACCTCAGTAAAGATATGACTTCCATGCTGAAAAAGAGAAGTTCTCTTCTGAAGATTACGCACCTGAATTTGAAGTTAATGGGCTTTATTACTGCAAACCATTGGAAGTCCTCAAATCTGCATACCAGGAGGTTTAAGTGAAGACATTTCACACAAAGCCATACAAACTATTCTGGCAACCTGACAACAAAGAACCTCCAGAGAGGATCATTACTGAGTTGTATACATTTGACACCATGCTTCAAGAGCATGAGAAGCTCAACCTGCAGCCAAATGAACTGGGCTGTAACTTGGAAACTGTCATTGGTGCAATCATGCTCTGGTCTGACTCTACTCATCTAGCGAGTTTTGGAAATGCTTCTCTGTGGCCGATATACTTGTTTATTGGCAATCAGTCAAAGTACATTCATGGCAAGCCAACATCGTTTGCAGCACATCATCTCGCATATATTCCAAAGGTCTGTTTTTACTATTTGAACTTAAGACATGATCAAATTATGTGTATAGCTACAAGATACTATCTAAGACTTCTACAAGAAGACTGTTGGTTGTAGTGCCACAGGAGCAGTGCTCACACACTGCAAACATAAATTAATGCAGGCCATTTGGCATTTCATACCCAATACCGAATTCATAGATGCATATGAACATGGCTTCATTGTCAAGTTCCCTGATGGAGTCTCTCAGCATGTGTTTCTTCATTTTTTCACTTATTCTGCTAATTATCCAGAGAAGTCTGTTTCACATCTTACTTGATCGCACCATACTAATCTCCAGAATGCCAGGGTTTTACTTGCATGCATGAAATTCCTCGGGAGGTGTCCATGCCCATGGTGTCTTGTTAGCAAAGACAATATTTTCAAATTAGGGACAAGGTTCGATCAACAACAACACATCAGAAACTCTCAAGTTGACAATCACCCATGGTGTAGCCTCATTGAATGAGCCAGCAAACTAATACTTGTTTGAGGCTATAGTGTAATCAGCTCTGCAATTGAGAAAATCATTGGTACCACCTCTGTTGCACCTATTTGTGTATGTATGATTTGAATTGAGCTTTCAAAGTCCACTAACTGTGAGTATTAGAATGCCTTTTCAGAGAAGCTTGCCAAGTTTGGTTTTGATTTCCACTCAATGTTCGTGCCTGACTTTATGTATGAGTTTGAGTTGGGAGTATGGGAGGCAATCCTAACTCATCTTCTCTGAATTTTGTATTCATATGGAGGTACTGCTGTGCAAGATCTCAATGAGCTGTAAGTCATTTTTTTCTTATATATATTTGTGTATATAGTGAGGATTAGGATGAACATGTGTCATAAAAATATTTAGAAGGAGGTTTAGCAATAAAACATGAAAAGGTTTAGAAATACTATATTTCAAATGTTTAGGTCTCTATACAGTTGCTATACAGTAAAGATTAGGATGAGGATACTCACAGTGCACGTAACAAGGTGTAGAAATTCTCATGAGAAGGTTTAGTTGATGGCAGTGGTGGACAAATTAGAAAAGGTTTAGGGTCCATGTAAGTAATTTACGAAAGGTGACTGTAAGCTCAAGTCAACACTGACAACAACATTTTAGAATTGAGCAGCCCTTAAGTTTGCCCATGGAATCACAAGACTTCAGTGCCATGAGTGCATTTTGCAAAGGATGAGAGAGGTTAATCATGAAAGGGAAGCTGCAAGAGAGGATCACTTGCAGCCCAAGACAGAGGATCTTTGTCCATGTCTTCATTTTGTTGACCAGGATCCACTGCTGCATTGCTCACCAGAATCCATTATCAAATGTTCTCATCACAGAAACACTACTGGGATGTTTCTTTCTGGCTCAGAAAGAATAGAAATGACCAGGCCACAAATGTATAATTAGGTCTCTGATACTCATATAACAACAAATGTATTTGCTCACCAGATATAACTAGAATTTTTTTCTGTGCCTCAAAGACCACCTTCTGGGTTGCTTATCAGGGTTGGCCTATGATGGAGATGAAACTTCATTTACTGCTGCAGAATGGAACTCTGTCATAATCATCAACAACTGGATCTATTGTTACAAAGTGCTTCATGTCAACTATACCACCTATGACTTGCAGCATGCTCAGGACTCCCTCAACCCTCGCACACATGCAGACATCATAGTTCTTGCTCATAACCAGGAAGACTCTCATCCATATTGGTATGTCCGGGTTATCAGCATCTTTCATGCCAATATCTGCTGCATGAGACAAGGTGCATGTCCCACTATAAACTATGTCAACTTTTTGTGAGTCTGCTGGTTCACTCATGACATCACTGCCCCAACAGGTCGGGCATCAAAACGGCTGCCACAAGCTGGTTTTTATGATGGAAACAATGAATTAGCCTTTGGGTTCCTTGATCCTGACCTTGTCATTTGTGGTGTGCAACTTATCCCAGCCTTTTGACATCTATGTATGACTGCACTGTTGGGACCATCCATTGCCCATCAAGCAGCTGACAATGATGAGGATTGGGACTGGTACTGTGTCAACATGTCAGTTATTTCCCACTAATGAAATGAATCAAATCTGATAAATTACCAGGTTTATCGACTGAGACATGTTCATGCACTTCCATAGAGAAGGTGTGGGGCACAAATCCACATGAAGAGAGACATCATGTCTGCTTGATGATTGTGATGAGTTGGATAGGATCCCCTTCCAAAGAGAGAAAGAGCACCATAGATCAGAATTCAATGAGGGCTTTGAAGAAGATGAGAATATGGACAAGGAGGGAGACAATGGGAGTGGAGATGATAGTGAGGAGGAGACAGACAGCATGGATGATGAGGATGGGGATGAAGTTCCAGCTCCCTTTGAAGCAATGGTAGATGACACTGTTGCTGACAAGATGGACGAATATGAATACTCCGGTGTAAAGAGTTGATTCCTGGTGGGCTATACAAAAGGTGTTACCTTAAAACTCAGAGTGTGAGTGAGATGTTCATCCCAAAGAGACTGCCTGTAGGATTATCTCTTGATAAAAATGCAAGGGATATCTTGTTAAGATCGAAGGAGAGAGAAGGAAAAGATACCTCAAGTACGTTCAGAGTTCCAAAGAATTGTCCAAAGTGTCTGATGAGTTGTCCAAGGTGTCCGGTTGAGGCCTGATGTCAAGAAATGAAGGTCTGAGGTTGCACAAAGCTTCCAGTGAAACAGCAAGGTTTCCAGTATAGAATATGGTGATTTGTCAAAGTATAGAACTTGTGTAGATTAACTAACAAAGTCCATCGAAAGATTTAAGCAAATCAATAAGCAAAATGGCAGCAGTCAGGCCAAACAATCGCTCTGAATGAACAAAAGATCAATTGCGTGAAATACTAAGATCTGAAAGTGACTCTACCAACTATGACTTGTAGCAAGGGAAGTGAAGTAAGTTGCAAGTATTTAGCGAGCCAGATTATATCCTACTGCATGAAAGTCTGGAATCTGTGTAGGCAAAAACTATAGTGAGATAAGACATCTGAAATGTAATAAGACTCAAGGTGAGCTGCTATAAAGATATATATGTAATAACGCATGAGGTGCATATCTATATGTATTAGCAAGGGTTTTCGACATATGTTCCCCTAGACATAATCAATAACAGATAACTAAGTGAAAAACACACCAGCAAAGTCAAACGGACAAGGACAGAACATGGTACAGAGGATCAGAAAAGCTATAAAGGCCTCGGAAGTAGATGAATGGCCTTTGGATAACTTGGACAAGCGCACAGAACTTTCAGAAGGTTGGAAGAATGTCGAGGAATGTAATATGTATATGAATTTGGCAGGATACATGCCCAATGCCGATCCGAGTATTATACTGGCCTTGATTAAGTCCTTGATGAGGATAGTGTAGATGAAGAAACTAATGAGATTGATAACTTTGGTCCGGAAGATGGGGAGGATGGGATGAATGAGCTTGAGGAGGATAGCTTTGCAGACTTGTAATTGATGACAGCACATGACATTTGATGACCATCAGCAGTTAGCCTCATTGCAGCCTAAGCTGCTTGACATTGTATGCAATGAGGAGAGTATTGGAGGAGGGCAGGATATGGTGCACTGTAGTTGAAAAAAAATGATTTTATTCAGCTGTGTCTACTACAAATATGCATGTCATACAAATAATAGCAATGTAAATCGGCGCAGGGAGGCAAGTTACCATCCATAGTCATATTCAAATAAGGATCAAAAGCAGGTCCAATAGCAAGCACAATTCGTACAGAGGGTCTTCTTGCTTGTAGTTTATGAGCTTGAGAGAAACACCCCAAAACATGGTGAGGCTAATGACAACGAGACCTGGTGATTTGTAAACATAAGCTGAAGGAGGATCATGAGATGAGTGGAGGGCAATTATGGAACAACTCACTTGTTGGCATTTAGCTGTGTTCCAAGAAGATATAGCACTTGACAAAGTGGTTGGACAGAGAGAGATGACTGTGCGAGTTTCATGCTGTGGCATAACATAGCTATAATATTTGTAGGATCTTCTGTCTTGTAGTGTATGAGCTTGAGAGCAACACCCCAGGCATGAGGACATTGTACTGTGAAGGGATGGAGAGACACAATAGGTGAGGCATGAAACAATCCATGAGGACATTGTGCCAGAAGAGTAATGGGAGCAGCATCGGTGAAGGTGCTCAAAACAGCTGTAAGGAGAACTATAAATGTAGTGAGTGCATTGTGACTAGGGTAGGGTTAGGGATATGCACCTTTAAGGCATCACCTCGCTCATGTGAATGCCTAGTTATGGATTTGTATATGAGGGTGCCTAAGTGGCTTGCAAGAGTGCAAAAGACATTGTGGGGGTTGCAGCAGAAGGTGTGGACAGCAAGGAGAAATCTACATCTACATCTGTTCTATTGAAAGAGTGTCTGGTATTGGGCACCATAGCACTCATTCTGTTAAGACATTGCTAAAAGTATTCTTAGATCAAAATAGATTCTACGCAGCCACAATATACTTACCTGGCTGTATCCTATGATATCTAGGTGTGTATTGTTGTGCCACTCCAAATTAGGACCTACTGTAAGAAGAAAAACTAGAGACTTCATAGGTGTCTGCTAGGAGCTTGAAAGCATCAACACACTGCTGGCAAAGGTAGGGTATGTGTGAGGGCAGATGAAGATACAAGGGCAGGTGAGGGTAAGAATGTGAGGTTTGGTGAAGATGTGAGGGGAGGTGAAGATGAGACACTCTGTGATAGGGTCAGTACACATAGTAAGTAGTAGTAATAAAAGTCAGAAGCTGTCAGGCTTAAGTGCTCAGAGTCACCTCCTAGAGGTATATCCTTGCAGCCTGACAGCCTCTGGTCCAAGTTGCCTCCTAGAGGCATATTGGACCAGGAAGTGAATAAGACATATTTACCCCTTAATCCTTAACCCTTCACACATTATGTCTTCAAGTTCACATCATCATCCTAGTGCATCATCAAGCTCCTCTGATCCCCCTGATTTGCATTCAATATATGTATGTAGCACTACCATTTCTTCTGTCAGATGCTCTCCAGAGCCTGTGAAACTTGCAAAATGCAAGAATAAAAGTAAATGGTTAGAGTTGCTAGAACCTAAGGCCCAGCAAACACAAGCACAAATGTTCCTCCAGTGACACCAGCACCGATGACCTTATCAATTCCATTTCATCAAGCTCTCACAAGAACATAACAAGGTAATGTAATTTGATCTGTACCATATCAATTTTGACCTTTGGAAGCAGGAAACGTGAGGATTCAAAAATGGTGTAGCACTCGAGCTCGCGCTGAGCTTGTATTCAGCTATTTCATACATCATATCAAATGCCTGTCACACAAGAATCACTTCCCAATGTTATCCAATACTCGAGCCCCTTCAGTGACAAATTCCGTATTATACGGGCCACCCAACCTCCATAATATCCCATATGAGATGGGCCAGCTGATCATGGGCCCATGTTGTGTATATTCTCGATGATGACGGATGGGCCGGGACACATATTATTTCCAATGGAGACGGGTGGGCCCATGTATGCCAATGATATATATATCCTTAATGTTGACGGATGGGCCGGGGGAATATGATCATTCATGGAGATGGGTGGGCCCATCTGGGTAATATGTAGAGTAGGATATTATAGACAGCTGGGCTGAAGAGAGATGTAAGGCAAATATTGTTATATAGACGGGCGGGCCGACGTGGGTGTATTACATATATGGGTGGGCCGAGGTAGGGGAATATTACATAGACGGGTGGGCTGATGTAGGGTGTATTACATATACAGGTGGGCCGACGTGGAATGTATTACATATATGGGTGGGCCGACGAAAGGGATATCAAATAGACCGGTGGGCCGAGGGTGCTATAAAATATTTATTACATAGACAGGTGGGCCGAGGTGGGGTATAATTATATAGATGGGTGGGCCGATGTAGGATGTATTATATAGACGGGTGGGCCAACATAGGATGTATTACATAGACGGGTCGGCCGACGTGGGGGATAATACATAGACGGGCGGGCCGACGGGGGTGTATTACATATATGGGTGAGCCTAGATATGTTCCATCAAGACATACAGCTGATGTAGCCACCAGCGAATCAAACACATAGGATACATGTACACTATGAGTGCATATACCTACCATCAACCACCAAATCTAAACCCCTAAGCACAAAAACATGAATCTATCATGTGTGGCATTGACCAATAATCCAGGACTGAAGTGGAAAAACCCCACACCTGAACCCTGGTGTGCAACAAATCCTATTTCTAAGCATGGACACCAGAAGCACAACACTCACAAAAATATATATGTCAAATTTTCAGTGCCAAACCCCAAACCGAGATGTACCAACCCCCGAACCCCAAAACCCGAGAGTGCCGGGTCTCGGGTATCGGGTGTCCGGAACTCGGAACTCGGTATGTCTAAACAAAAATATATTGCAAACATGGGTAAGTCAATGTGTTGTCAATCAACTCGATTGTAAATTAAATTGTATTGATCTCCCCAAATTCTCCCAAGTTCCGAGTTCCGGACACCCGATACCCGAGACCCGGCACTCTCGGGTTTTGGGGTTTGGGGGTTGGTACATCTCGGTTTGGGGTTTGGGGGTTAGTAAAATGTTTACAGATATACATAGGTTGATTTAAACATGTCTGGAAGATGTCGTTCGTCTAAAATGTCACATCCTGAGTTCCGGGTGTCGGGACTCGGTACCTGGCACCTGGGACTCGGGGTTCGGCACTGATAATTTGACATTCGGGTGTTCGGGTTTTGGGTGATATCTACCTCAATCTGCAGTTTCGAGTTCTGGATATCGGGAGTGATCATTGAATGATTCAATTGTGGCATAGGTAACATGCATGGAAAAACATTTATGTACATCTATCACTGAGCAATTATGTAGCCATGTCAACCTCCTCACCAGGAAGATCAACCTTTCCCTCAACATCCATCTCCTCATCAGAAGAATCATATTCTGGCAGGAGGTTACCTGGTTCATTAGGGACCACAATATCGCCGGGGGATTCTGGCAGGAGGTTGCCTGGTTCATCAGGGAGATCAATTTCGCCGGAGGATTGTGGACCCTCAGGCTGAACTTGGGTGGGCTCAACCATGGGACCTACCACAGCAGATTCATGCTCAGGCGTCAAGGGTGTAGGTTGCATGACTGAAAAGTCCAAATCAATGAGGTTGGAAAGTGCGGAGGGGAGGGGTGACATGGACGGGGGGGACCTCCTTGACCAAGCAACATTATTCCATCAGCCGGTGTGTCCGGAAGTGAAAATGAAGGGTGCCGGTCGACCACTGTGCACCGGAGGCTCTCATAGAGGCGTTACAGGGTATCAATCTTAGCGTCCTGCTCCTGCACCCGAGCCTCAAGAATAGCGATGCGAGCTGCACCATCCCAAATCGCGATTGCCA